GTCGTGCTACGATTGATTACCTTATTAGAAACGTTAATACACGCTAACGTATATTGCGTCAATTTCAATACCCATTTACTTCCGTATTTAAATAGTAATTGTGTTATTAAAACTCACTATTATTCCAGTAACAACTTAATTAATTGAACTGGTACGTGATAATGTTATATCTATCTTTTGTTCTCAGATTTGGTTCTGATATGATCGGCTCGTAGAATTATCAAATACATTTGTTTAAGTTTATTCGACGTGTATCTACGTGTATTCCGAACACGAAAGTCGTTTAATTTTAACAATTCATCGCACCAAATTTTCAAATTCAGACTTAAGCAGACTATCCAATTAAAAACTATGATTTTGAGCATGAACGATAATAATTCGTTATATTATGACCGACCGACTTGCTATCGTGTCTTAACTGTTCACTAAGACACGCAGTTCTCTTCCAAAAGTGATACGTTCCACACAAAGAAACCTGTGACATACCTTTTTAATAATGATACTTTGATACATTAAAGGATGACAAACTTGAAAAATAAACACTTGTACAGACATTGTTAACCGTTGCTTATTCTGATAAAATAATTAAAGAAGTTATACACACGTGTTGCCCTTGTTGTCGGAAAACATAGTTCGTTGTTTCCCCGAGATGCACGAGTTTCACGAGTGCAAAGCTAGAGTTAAACATAAATATTTGAAGGGAAACAAAGGATCGTGTTTCCCTGCAACAAGGGCAAGAATTTGTTTTTACCGAAAGAGAAAAATACCACAACAGTAAAGGTGATAAGACTATTGCGTCATTGTTGTCATCAACTTTAGTCTTATGATAAATGTAATGCTTCTTTCTTATTTTTCTAAAGAGAGAAAGTCGAGCGTGAGAGGAAACGCACGTTTCATTTCCAATATATTTGATCATTTAAATCCAATCAGATTCGCTGTTATAAAGTTGAGGTATAACACATCTTTAACTCCAGCAACTAAAATGTAGCATATATATATCATGTGCAAGGTATCATGTAGCCTTAACTCTAACACAACCACAGGTATAATAAAAAAGGAGCATATATATATATAACAAAAAGGTACAGGTATACTGTGCTGGTTGGTAGTTATCCTTAACTGGCTTTGCATACGTACTGTTACGTACATGTATCAACGTGCACCGCTCGTCTGAACAAATTCTTATACAATAACGATTTAACTTTACAGTCAGTGGTCCGAAGCATGGCCGAGACCAATAACACACACGCTTTAATCAGAAAGCCGATTTGTCTCGGGTGGTTGGTAAAAGTCCAATGTCCTACGCAAATATTTCACACCTTTGTTAGGGGATTATATTATAATACTGTCACTTTTTGTACAAAAAACAGTCGACTAAAATACGTGCATTTGAAATGAGTGAATGGACTAACTGGAACTGTTATCCAGATACTAAGATACCCCGCACCCACAATTCGCATAAAGGGAATATATGTCATCCGTTTAAAAGAGTCTTAATATAATGTGATGTGGGCGAGGAATCGGAAACAGGGGGGGAAATGTGCCATTCATCCAAACAAGTGTCTAAATGGAGATGAAATAATAAAAATAGGAAGAACGAAACTACATAATTACATGGGGTAGTTATATGATTGCTGTAAAGTGTCGCTGAAATTGGCCTATTAGTTGAGGAAAGGTTGTCCAGACAAGGATTTTTTCAACAAGGGGCCATAAATCCTTCAAAATAGGAGGTAGGAATGAAAAATACCAGCTAGATACACAACCTCGGAAAGTAGATATCATATCTGTAAGGTTCGTTCGAACGGCCCAACAGTTCAGGAGGCGGACGCATGTTTTTCAACAAAGAGCCGTAACTCCATAGAAAGGACCATATCAGAATTAAAAAAAATACCAGGATGCAACACATCAGGGGGTATCAATTTATTATAACAATATCTGAATACTGTCGTTGAAGTTGGCCTAGTAGTTTTAATATAAACTTTTCTTACAACAGTTATGAAACAAGTTATTTCAACTAATATCAATCACTCTTGTTGACCCGGATGTGAGGACGCGGGGTGTCTTAATGTGGACGGAGAGGATTTTGTGGAGGGACGGACACCTTATGCATGTTACAACTATTTGAAAACACAATATGTCATATCAACTTATATTTATCACATTTGTTGCCCCGAATGTTAGCGCTGGGGGGTCTGAATGAGAGGGGAAACTGGAGTACCCGGCGAAAACTCACTTGGTCGGGCTGGTGACATCATACCTTTTCACGTCAGATCGCGGGTTCAAATCCCAGCCGTCTTGGTGAAAGGCGAGTGCGCAATCCGCTGTCACCCGATTTGTGGGATGGGTGCACGATATTTAATTCTTATACATTATCTTATTAAGGAAAGATTTTATTTTGGAATTAAATTTTAATATTTTCGTGACGATTTCCTCAGTTATAACATAAGTGCCTTTCCTACATTAATAGTGCCTGGTAAAGTTAAATCTCACCAGCATGCCCCGGTTATATCTTGTTGGATTTTAGTATCTTTCATGGTTTCACTGTAACTTAGTCTACCTTGTATCATCCGCAGGATAAACTCGTAATTTAACAATGATACGAAAAGACAGCAGCAGGGACCGCTGACCAGCAAAACAAAAATACGCTATGAACACTGACAGAAAGAAAAAAAACAACATTATGTAAGTAGGAATCGGGACAAACTTTATAAATCTTCGCCAATCTGCATCTCATGAAAACCTATAATTAGTCTGTTTTAAATTAAGACTAGTAAAATACAGCTAATGGCGTATCAGTTCTATCAGGCGTAAGCTAAGCAAGTGTTATTTTTAATTTTATATCCAAATATTTTCTTTTGATTTCAATTGCACAGCATTACTTTTCGTTTCACAAAAGAAGAAAAATTCAGCCAACTCTAGTCATGAGGAATGGGAAGGCACAAATGATGGTTTCTGAACAAAGTCTTAATTAATAGTATACACTTTGTAGAGTTTAGACAGCCTCGAAAGAGAGAGGGAGTGGAATAATTTTCCACGCAGATTCAACTAAACTTTTTTCAATCAACGATATCAATTGTTTGGAATAAAACGAACGGGTTGTTTGTCGTCTGTTGCCTGATCAACACATTCCACAAGCCTATATTGCGGGGGTTAATATTGACGTATACACTATGATTAGAGACTATATTTAATACCTTTTAATACACAATTTCTCAATCATTTGTAGGCAAATTGCACAACAATTCAGTGCTTAAGCGTAGATTAGGGAGGATATTAACACCGTTTTTGTTATAACGACCGTCATTAGACGAGCTTTGTGGCCAATTACCTGTGGCTGACGTATATATCCAGACTACATGCCTCGGTAGGGATTTTAAACGCTGGAAAGTGCAGAATGACATTGGTCGTTATTAAATTGTAAACAATAAACATATTTATTACATTTTTGGCAGTGAAATATCGGATTCTATCAACTTGATAAAACTGATATCTTTCATTGTGACAAATATCAAAAGTGTTATTTTCACTTTATCACTTTTTGATATTGACCAATCATAACGGTATCTTCTATTCGCTGCATTCAAAGGCAACGATTTTTTTGTTCAGATTCAAATGAAGCGACGGTAGAATAAGTGGTTGTTATGGTAAATGTTTGGTACACACACTTAAGTATTTACATAAATATTAATTGATAACCTTTTTTGAGCAATAATACCAGAAAACAGCAGAAAAAGTCGGAATTGCGTTGAGTATCCCATTCAAAATGGCGCGCAGCCTTGTTGTCAAGCGTGACGTCATTAGGATATGGCGCTAATTATTACGCTACTAAATCCCGCCCTTTTTAAATGCATTACAATGTTCATGTTTTATGCCTTAAAAATGTGATAAATAGGAAATTTAATGGTGTGTTCAGTAATAACAAATATATTTCACTCGTGTGGCTAATATTTTGTTATTTTTCACTCGTGCTGCGCTCTCGTGTAAAATATAAAAATATTAGCCACACTCGTGAAATATGTTTGTTATTACTGACGACACCATCAAATATCCTCTATCTATCACATAATGTAATGTTGTGTCCAGTGAATATACCCATGTCATATGACCTATCAACCTTGTGATTGTTTCATTTGTGACGTCACGTCTAGGATAAGTACATGACATCACAAACTTACGCGCTGTAGTCAAAATGGCTGCTTTTCACATTTCAAGGTTGCATGAAAATTGTCTTTTTTCATGAATAAATGCCACAAATCTTGATTATGTAATAAAAAGGATCTTAAACTCGTTTTCATTTTATATGAAATTTATGAAGCTCTCACGAATTTCATAAATCTCATATGAAATGGTAACTCATGTAAGATCCTAAATTTATCATATTCAGTAAATATAAAGGATAACAACAATTTAAGACATAATAAACAAATATTCAACAAGTATCTATTCTTTTCACATTTTCTATTTCTTTTCAATATTTACACTAATCAATCAATACGCATTTGCCTTTATATTAAAGCCCATGAGTAATTCCATTAGGGCTATTGAAATTTGTTGCTCATTTGAAGCTGTTTACCCAAAAACATGCAAATGTAAATGATGATAAGTTGGTGGATGAAGTGCCCTGTGTCATTACAAAGTTCTCTGGGTTTAATGTGCAAGTTGATGTCACGTGGAATGGATTGCCCAGTGGACGTTTGGGTGGTAAAAAGTTTGTGACCACGAGGAACCGATTGCGAGTCGGAAGTCAGTATTTAATTTGACAATGTTGTAAGTATTTTTTTTATAAATTTTAAATTGGAAAGAATAATAATAAAAGTACAATGGTGCACCATTTATGATTTTTGTAATGTTTATTATTATTTCTCTCGACTACATTATCTCGGAGAAGGGGAGATAACTCTTTTCAAAAACGATACTATGCGTAGTAACATGAAGTGGTCATTGTGTGTGAAATCAGCTGACTGGTTGCACGAGAATCGTTGCATTCATAGTGTATTCATAGTCTAATGGCAGTTGTTTTCAGTTGGTAGATTCATGTACAGAACAAATATCAAGAATGTAAATATATCATAATGAAAAAGAAGTATGCGGTATTCGGTCAGGCTACGCTTATTTCTGTATGCTTCTGTTTATCATTTTTATATTATAACTTTATATTTAAATCCTCTTGTGTAGATACCATCGAAGCTTCAGCCATTTCTTCTCCAGCAATATCCTTGAAGAAATATAAGAAGCATGATCATTTCTATAACTGGCACAATAATAATTAAAATAAGACATATTTATTTTTTCAAACTAGTCATATTCAATATTCCTCATTTAAAAAGATAAAGTTATATAAGAAATGATGAAAGATTCAACATTTACTTTACCAATAGAATTGTTTTGTTTATTTTTAACAGCTACATCTGTTAGAAAATAAATGAAAAAAATCTAAATGAAAGAAATGTTATACAAGCTAGAATAATCGAACACTAGTTACATATACAAATATAATCATTTGATGTTTTTTGTTTCCATCCAAGTTTTACACCCATTAGACATTAGTTATATGTGTCAATCTTTTAAAGAAACAACTTAGAATAAACAAAAGCTAAATGATAATTTGTAGGGTTTTAATAGGAAACAATCAATTATTTTTACAGCTATTGTATCTTTCTATGGTTTTATAATTCAGAAATATATATACGTACGTTGACTGATCCAGAAATCTTTACTCCACACCGGAATAACTTTCTGATCGGTGCAGGGATACAGCGAGCCAGATAGTCACACACTGGTACGGTCAACGACGGATCAACGTGTGTCTGAGCTATTAACCAAAACAATGTGTATTGGCATCCCTGTGAAGATTGTTATCATTTTTTCCTTATTTGTCCTTTGTATTTTAACTTACGAAGAACACTCATTACCGAATTAGAATGGTACGAAGGCGACATAAACGTAGATATTCTTTGTAAAGGTGACCCCAACATCTCACCACATGGTAATATTAAACTAGCCAAGGCTGCACAGTATTTCCTGGGAAGATTGGGAAAATCGGGACTAACTCCAAACCACACCCCTCTCTATCCAACCTCCAACCCTAGTCCTGTCTCCTGGTTCTTCTCTTATCCATCCAACCCTCCCTCCCTCTCTCTCTCTCTCTCTCTCTCTCTCTCTCTCTCTCTCTAACTTTCAAAAGTTACAGAAAGACCTCGCTAAAGCTCGTGTATTATTATATTTGTCTGTATTACGGGAGAAGTCAATTGATAAATTGGAAAAACCTACTAATCCCTTTGTCAATATGTTGTCAATAAAATGTCTATAAACTAACAAAATCAATGGGAGACAAATGTCAAAACCTAGCTTCAATCGAATTGAGCTTAAAGTAAAGCGATCAGAAAACAGGAGATGAAATGTCTTCAACTCCATAACTTGAGGCCATTACTATTAAATGATTAACTATGGCTGTTTATGATAAACGTTTAAACATATACTTTATAATTCAAGAGACAATAAACTGCAGTTTGTTTAAGGTTAGTTGCTATATTTTACCTTGTAGATGACTGAAGACAGTTCCAACTGACACAACAAGTATAATAGCGATCGGCAATAACCATTTATATGACAGGGAGTACAGTACGTCTAGACCCTGTCTGTAAACAAGTAAAAATATTGAATACCGTTATTTCGGCCTTGTTAATTTTACTGTTGTAAGTAATTGCATAAATAAATAAATAAATTTATAAAAATGATATTTTATTTGATATTTGACAGGTAAATTCTGTATTCCTATCTATTTAATATACTTACGGACCATACGGATAATTAGATGTTTGGTTTGACTCCAGAGTCAAATCCGTAGATTTCCATATGGTAGTTGTTGACACGTGATGGTATGAAGTTGTATTATTAGTCAATGAGGAAATATTTTGCACTGGACAAAATTCTGTTGAAGCAGGCTCTAACTTGACGCTGGCTCGCGTACCAGAGGAAAGCAACTTTCCGAACGAAATCCAACCAACAAAGAGACAGGATACCATACCACCGACTAACGCGCCCTGTAAATATACATAGTTCATATTATAAATATACAAAGATAAACACAACAAGCACTCATGTGATTTAGCATTTTTTAAATTTTGTTATAGATACGGTAAGTTGTTAATTAATTACACTACACCATACAGCTGGTTTGTCCCTCTAGGACTTACTTTTAGTATTGGTGATTCTAGGGGCAATACAAGTTAAATCCAAATGAGTCTAAATTACTGTTGAAACAGAAGGGGTGTTGAATAAACCCTTCCATTATATGAATGTCATAAAAATCAGTGAAGTAGTTAATTTCAAATTCCTAACGAGTAAAGTGTGTTCACTGTGAACTCTGCAGCTACTAAACAGAGACAACAGCGGCCGGCAAGGTTTCAGCAAACCCCAGGGACAAAGGAATCCACCAGCAGAGTCTGCCACCGTTACCTTGAAAGAGGAACTACGATTGTGTTGTAACGGTACATGTCAACAATGTATCGATGATAACAGACAAAGAGGATGTATTCGACTCCCGTTTAACGTTTCATGTAAGTGTGTGTGTTTGCAATTCACAAAAGCTAAGGTCATATGTAGACGGTTTCTGCAGTTGATAAAGCAACTCTTTTGAAGTGCCATCTTACTTGAATATTATAACTGGGACAAGATAGCATGAAACTACACCCGGTCTATTTATTTTAACCACATGATAACTGGAACTGCATCAAGAGCTACCACCGGAACGAAAGTGTTTAAAACAGGTGTTACAATAGGGACAATGTTGCTCTCTGGTGTGACCCAAATGAGAGAACCTGGGAGAAACCCCCCAATCTTCATAGGGTCCTATATTGTTCAACTATTATGATCATATCACAGGATATATCAGGTCAGTTTTTTATAATGTAAATCTTGCAGTTGATTGGATACAGCGTTAACGCACTTTGATAACAATGGTAGGCACTTATTACCATACCACAATATACCTAGTGCATTTCGTGTATGTTATACGTGGGTATTGATTTACGGATGTATTGAAGTGTTCTTAAGTAATACGTGAACAGTGACGTCATCATAAATCATATTGTCAGCATTACCAAATCTGATTAAATTGAATCTTCACATCGATTCAGTTTCCTTTTATGATGCGACATATCAATACATGGGATGCTAGATTTAATTTCAATAAGATTGAATTATTCCCACACAATTATATATATTTGTGGTAAAATTGCATCACACACGCACATGTTAGTTCTAATATTTTTTTCTTAGGTAATGGCAAATTTATTTGACACCCACCAATGCATTCGACCTCGGTACGAACCAACCAAGTATAAACAATCCGATAAGTGTGCCGGACAGAAAGCTCCCTGTTATATCGAGTATCTGCAAAGGAAACAATGCTGACATACAGGTTAAGTCAAAACTACATCACGTTTTTATTTCATTGACATACATACTGTGTGAAACTAAATCTCTGCTTACTTACATCTGAATCAAACCTGTTTAAGTATGACTCGGCTAAATTAAAGAGCTGTACAACATTCCCGTTTCTGTTCAATGCTGTATGCGATTTTTGACGTCATCGGTTTTCTGACAGTGAAAGAGACAGATATAAAAAAGATCTTTTGATTGCGTTACATAAGAGATAGTTCCTACCCGTGAAACAGGTCCTTCAACTCCAGATATACAGAAAGCAAAAATTACAGCCAGTCCTCCGAACAGGAATACTAAAAATAAGGTAAAATATATATTGGAATGTTTCATTATAGGACATCTTAAAAATCATTTACATCAAAGAACTCCTGAATGGCAGTTTGATTAACGAACACAAACAAGTGGAAGCTATTATTAGATACATACCTTACAGAAAAAGGGGATTTGTTTACGGATATTACGAACATTAAACCATAAACCCAAAGGATATTAAAAGTAGTTTCATTAAAATCATATATATGTGTACTTGCTAAGCGATGATACAAATGTGTGTTTTTCCCCAATCAAAAATTAAAATTAAAATCATATACTGTAAGAGTATTCATTTTAGCGGACACAATTAAAGCATACTAACGAATTTTAACAGATTAGCGCATTAAAGTATTGGCGCACTCGCAATATAGGCATCTTTATCTGTAAACAAATTGTAATAATCAGTATTTACATAACTTGCAGTCTATTCTGCTTTGTTTAAGGGTATTAAAAATGAAGAATTTAAGCTTTTTTTCTATTTCTAGGGAAACCCCAAAAAATTGCATTGACAAATCCTCTATCAATGTGACTAAGTGAAATGAAGGACAGAGGGTGACTCGTTGTTAGCAGAAGTGTATAATGTTAGAGAAATATCCAAGGTGCTTCATTTTCTTGATATTAAATAATATATGATAAAGTCGAAATGGTGAACATCCTGTAGTCACGTTGTCTTCACACAAATCCTACCGAAATGTAGAGCAATACCAATCGTATTTGATAAATTCATAAAGAATTTAAAGTGTTTAATATCGGCTTTGATTCCGTTTGATGTCCTTTAGTATTGACATTGCTATCTCACTAACAAGGAAACACTTACTTGACGATTGTGTAATCATTACTGCTCGTTTTTCCGACATCGACTTGGTGTGTCGTTTGACAATATCCTCCCAGAAAATGGTGGACAAAACACTCAATAGCGATGACATTGTACTAAAAAAGGAACATTGTTTACCAGAAAGGGCTTTATTATAAAAACGTCGGGAACATTTATATAGGGATTAAACGCCGCTTTTGAAATTTCACATGTTTATTGAAGCTACAAAAGAAATTGTTCAAACAACCAAAAACGACTAATGAGCAAAATAGTATCAGCTCACGGTTACTAGCGGTAGTGACAAGTCATGTACTGCCCTAGAAATTCTTCCCCCAGCTACCCATTCTGCCTTGTTTCTGTATCAACCCCCGGTAATAATCGAAAACAACGTAAGCATAGTTCCACAGGGTTTCGTTACAAATGTCTGAAATACACATATGCAGTACTGATATGGGTCACATCGCACATACATATAAATGTATGTTTATGTGTGCTGTGACCTATATCAGTAAAGCATATGTGTATTTCAGACATTTGTAATGAACCACTGTGGTAGATCCATGTGGTCCCGTCGTATATGAAATACAGTCGAGCAGCCAAATGTCATATCAAATTATTTCGTCCTTTCAAGCCACGTCTGGTTTCCTGTTTTATTCGACATTTTATTACAGCAGCTTCACATTCCAGAAGATGTAGAACCTTTTAATTTAGCGGCTCTCCACTCCGAGCTTGTAAAAAGATGGCTATCCTACACTCGCAGCTGAGCCTGCGCACCGCGTCTAGACATCATTCTTTCTCGATGAAACCATCAGAAAATTTGAAATCTAATGAATTCATCATTACACAATTTTGATTAAATATGACATTTAATATATATTTTTGTGTTTTGTTTCTACATAATTTTGCTGCATTGAACTATCAACTTTCACCATCATGTTGTACGATGGTCCTTTAATGACGGACTATATTTATTTTACACAAATAATCAGAATGGTTTTCACAAGTTCCAATTATTGTAAAAACACGTTGATTGAAATATAAAGGTTAAATCTTGCATTTCTGCTGCTAATGTTCATATAGTGGGTTGCAGCGAAAATGTATACAAAGTCCAATTACAATTTTCAAAGGACTATATGTGTCGTGTTAGTAATAATGATAAAAAAGATGACCAACACTTTTAGTTTGAAGTGTATTTATGTACATATCTTCTGAATTATTATGAATGGAAACAGATTTTCTACGATTTGTTATTTGAGGAATCCTCTGCCTTACGTAGTTTAAGAATAGGAGGTGAAGAAATTCCTACAGTACCTTAAATGTAACAATTTTAGAAATTTTGCACAATTGATGAAATATATGGTTATTTAAATCTTGGTGCCCGTTGAACAATAATATTCGCCATCATATAATTATCTTTCATACAGTGATCAATGGGAAGTAATTCTGACAGAAATAATTTATGTTCAAAGTGTCAAAACACATAATTGACTGTTAGACCTTCGGCGAATTCCGCAGTAAAAAAAATAAATACTCATGGCCATTCTAAAAATAAGTAGAAAAATAATTCTAGATTTTAATTTTAAGTTTCTAATTGCTTCATGTAAAAAGAAATTTTAATGCATGTATATTTTCCTGTCTGATTTGTGGACACATTTCTTACGTGTAATAACTAAACCCTTCCATATTTTATAAGAAGTTTCTATTAAATATTTTAAATAAAATATATATTATTATATATTATACACAAATGTAAGTCGATCACCTTTGTCTTTTCATCAGATAAGAAAGATTTCATAAATCTGAATTTATCTTAATTGCTACGGCCTCCTTACATACAGTTACTTTAAAGCTGTAAGTAAAAAAGATTTCAATTCAGATTTTTATTTTATTCCCTTTTTTCTGGTTTTGAGATCTTCCCCAGTGACCATTTCTTCCGGCTTTCGTATCTAAAGGGCCTATCACACACTACCGATATACCTCGCCGGGACTAAACCGGAGCAAAAAATTAACAACGGCGAGAAAATTGGCAGAACTCCGGCGAGAAAGCACTTGAACAATCACAATTGACCGTAGCAATACCGCTGTAGTACCGGCGTTTCCGTTGTGATGCCGTTGTTCTACCTTTGTCCTAACGATGTAAGAGCCTATGTGCTACCAAATACCACTTTTCTGTCACCTTAGTGTTACCGAGGCGCCGCAGATGTTATACCGTGGCGCCGCCAATATTCTACTAATGCAATGTTTCAAAGTCTTCGGGTTAGTGCATTTGATTTTTGATATCGGTTGCCGATCAGGGTGCGCGGTGCATTGAATCGCAAGACGGTCAGTAGTAGAATGAGTTACCAAGCAAGAACACAATAAAATATCGACGCTTCCTTAGAAACGATAGCCTGAAGAGATAATTCGGCAATCCTCGATTGACTCCGATACGCTCGAGGAACGAGTCACCCGAGGAGTTCCGAGTGTGAAGAGATACTCACTGGGAAGATCTCAAAACCAGATGAAAAAAATAACATATTTTTTTAATTTCTTAATTGAATGGTTTTTACTTGCACTGTCGGCTCTAATGATTTTGTCAGTTTCCATTTTATCAACATTCAACACTATCAGCACGGAGCGAATTTTGCTATTTATTGTAAACAAAACAACATTACCTCAGAGAAGCGCTAAACAGTGATGCTAAAAACAAGCCGGGGAGACAAGGGATATCCTGGAATATGTCCCTTACCATTTTCGCCATTAACTGAAAAACACAAACACACGTAGTTTGGTGGATCACATAATACAACTGCAATGCATTGTAATAATAATATAATCACGTTTTCTATAAAAAGTACCGTGATGTATGTTGAGTAACATTTATTGTTCAATACGTATTACTAGTTATCCACCTTAAGACCCAAATAATAACACATTGTTCTCTTTTAGGAGTGTTAGATACTCATCGTCATCATCATCATCATCATCATCATCATCATCATCATCATCATCATCATCATCATCATCATCATTATCATCATCATCATCATCATCGTCATCGTCGTCGTCGTCGTCGTGTTATTTCACTGACGTCTCATTATTTTAAATTGCTTTCTGATTAACTTAATTTTCCTGCTTTTAACATCCCAGTCAAATCCTAATTCAATACCATGTAGAACTTTTCGCGAATGTCCAATGTGATCCTACCTGATTTTGATTCGTGACTTGATTGGCTTCAAGAGGATCGCAACCCTTTGCATGATAATAGGCAAACATAACTGCGCCTTCCATAACCGCCAGCCCAGAAATGAACAAGGACAATATCGACGCCAGGATGAACATCCTAAAACATATCATCATCTTAAGAACAGCGTTTCTGATATTGATATATTAATTATCTGACGGGGTAATAAAACATCATGTCACCATCATGCGCTCCCTATTTCCTATTTCCCTATTCCCTATTCGGAGCCACTCTAAAAACATCGGGCAAGAAACACCACAACCGAGTTCCAATGACAACACTGGCGCGTCTCTGCCTTATCATCTTTACTATCTCTTATCCTCGATTAAACATGTTTTATTTGGGCCTTGGCCTTGTGGAACATGGTTGATACCGGAGGAAACAAACCAAAGTGTTTCCTAACAACAAGGGCAATACATTTATAATATACGATAACGAATATTCTTTTGCTAGCAAACGCGATGTGATTATTTTCGCAGTTGATTCCGTATTAAAGAGCTTGCTCCGAATAGCATGATTTCCGTGGTAGATGTCGAATACTGACGGACACACACATTACACATTGTTTGGAGAGATTAACACAGGTTGTAGGTGAGTGTCGGGAAGTTTTACGGTCGCCAAAAGGATCTCACTGAGAAATCTCTAGGGATATCTGGGACATTTCGATCATGTCTAATAAGTTTAAATTTTATAAATTCCATATGTTTAATATGTTCAGATGAACCAGCTACTGTGCTTTGAAATTGATTTTTATTACTATCAGATGTTGTTAACGTTTAATCTTGAACGAAGTATTAATTTGACTATTTCTCCTGTGCTCCTTTACTTTTCCCCTATATTTCATTGGCGCATTTAACACAAGTATAATCATTGCAATCATTTTAAAACGCCGCCATTTCGAGACGCCCGCATTATGTGTTTATGACGTTATTATTTTTGACGCCCTAAGTATGTGAACTCTATCTTTGACGACACAAATAAATTAAAATCGCATGAAAGGCCCTAAGATGGGCGAAAGTACTAGCGAGAGTTATATTATACAGTTATATAGTGGGTATGAGGGAAATAGCAAATGTATGGTCCCCCGAGGTGAAACACTATCTCAAGAGACGGCAAAGCCGCCGAGGGAAATGCTTTTATAACCAAGGGTGACCACAAATTTGCTATATAGGGAAAACTCAGTAGAGGTAAAATGAATATATATATATATATGATGGTATTTACATGACGTCTGCGCAAAGAACCAAAAATACAGACGGCTAATACAAGGTGACAAGCTGGAGAGCTGTTCTATTCAGTGCCTTGTATGTGTAAACCAAATTTTGTTGCCGTGTTTTGGATTCTCTGTCAGATATAACACAGAGCAGGGCATTGCCATAGTCCAACCGGGAGGTTACAAGTGAATGCACCAAAATCTTGCATGCATCTGCAATTATAAACTGCCGGATAGAGACAATGTTCCTGATGTTGTTGTAACAGATTTGGCCATGGCGTTCACTTGTTTCTCCACGTTTAGTGAACTATCAAAGTATACCCATCATGTTTTAAACAGCTGGAACAGTTTCAAAAGTCTAAAAAGGCGACTAGTTCCGTCTTTTCCTGATTAAGCTTTAGTCTTTTACCGTTCATCCAGGTCTGATGTCTGTCAGACAAGATTCCAGTCTTTCTAATATGTTATCCCGACTGTCCTGGGGTTTGATGACCATGCAAATTTGTGTGTCAACAGCATAACAATGATAGCGAAGGCTATGGCGACGACAAATCTCTCCGATCGGGCAATAGTTTCGTAGTCATAATACCGACCCTTGAGGAACCCAAAAATCTAGTGTTTTGTCGTGTAAGTGATAGACTCACTGATAACACACTGTCGGCGTTCACTCAAATATGACCGTATCCAGCATAGTGCGTCACCAGTCACTCCATAATCGTACTCTAGACGTGTGTAAAGCCATTGTCGATGACGTCGAATGCCGCTGACAGGTCTAGCATGACACGAACGCTCTGTGTTTGTAATTCAATGCAGCAGCTTTGTCATTATGTACACGTAGGAGGGCCGTATCAGTAGAGTTTTCCATGCGGTAGGCCGATTGCAGTTTGTCATGGAGACATGGTGGCATGGGGATGAATCGCTAAACGCCGGGACACAATCTTATCCAAGATCCTAGACAGAAAAGGTGATTTGATATCGAGCGGCAGTTCTTCAACTCCTTTTTGTCCATTCCAGGCTTCTTTAGCGGTGGTCTTACGTACGCCTTCTTTATACATAATGGAACCTTTGACTCAGCCAATGATTTGTCCATGATTTACGCAATCAAAGGAGGCAATGCTGCAAGCCATTGCTTTTATACGTCTGTGGGAGACGGATCAAGCTCACAGGACTTCAATTGTGAAGTCAATACAAAAGTTGTTCATTCAGATTTCAAAATATTGCAAAACTTGTTATTTCATATGGTCAAATTCAATGGTATTGTTACAGGAACGAATTCACGAGTGTTAAATTTAAGGTTACGCCGTTAATATTCGATTTCCCAAACTATTTATGTTTATTCAAAATATGACTGGTTTGAGATATCATTTAACTATCTTATAAGATATTCAGTTTAATTGTCACACAAACTTCGTGTTTAAAATATTTAGTTAAAAACTCTATATGAAATTGATGTTCGATGATGATCAAAGCTCTGTATATCACATTCATATGTAAGCTGTTCTATCACCTTTTGGTCGTTGACAACGTTGGTGTTGCCTTAATCCTTTGAAAGGCCATCTGGCTAAACTGTATTTCAAATCCAGTTGCTATGCCCCCAACAGCTAAACTCCAGAACGACTGACGTAAAGTTGGATCCGGATCAAAGCTAAGAAACAAAACAAAACTATTCAAATTTTAAATTGTTGACGTAGTTATTTGCGACTGGATAGTTGTGACGGAGTATTAATTTTATGATTTATGTATGCTACAAAACAGAAAATACTTCTTTTGCAGTTTCATCTGTATCAAATATCTGTTGAAACAAATATCCAGATCAATCACTGTTCTAGTTTCAAAAGTTCCAGTACGACCAAGAACAATTTCGAAAGTATTTACGAAGCGAAATTCTCATAATATGCATTATAATCTGATATGTATTAAATTCGTTTCATAAAAAAAAAAAAAATGGAATAGGAGCACATTTGAGATGCATAGCTTTAGATTCACCAAAATTCGCTAAAATAAGGACAATTAAAATAAAATAAATAGATATGATACATAGAAAAAACAAAATAGAAAAATAGAAAAATAATTAAATATTTAAAATTTTAATGAATTCATAATGAATGCTAAAATATATTTAATGACTTTACAACAAAACTTCAATACAGTTATCCTTCAGATCTATGAGCTGATCTGATACCCGAGGTTTCCATTTTCACATGAGATCAAACTATTTCAATGTTCACTTGGATAGAAGATGAGTCCTTTCAAAGATGTTCAGCTTTTCCGCAACAACGACAAAATGAAAGAGTAAGTAGGACGAATAACAAAGAAAGAAAAGTGTTGAAAAGCAACATCTGGATTTGACTCTTTCAAAGTCTCCTAAAACAGGACATGACAGAAACATTCCCCACATTAGTCGTCTTATACGATAACATGAAGAAAGGTACGGCAGTTCTACTCTTTCCATAAGAATACTCGACTATAGCATACAGGTTAAAGCTTACAATGCACGAAGTTTTCCGATAAACACATTCCTTCTATTATACTGAATTGTGCTTTGATAGATCGCATGGTGTAACATTTTAATATAGGAATAAATTGTATCTTATAATAAAAAGAAATGCTATAACATTTATAGATAAACATCATACTTAATTGCTGTCCCGTGAATAGCATGTATATTTATCGAGCGCGACAGAATAGTACTTACAAGTAAACATATTGCAGTATTCCAGTTGCCATGTCCATAAAATATATATCAGCATACATTCTAATAATGTTTTTATTTATTATATATTTGTCCCTAAGAATCGGTGTTCTTAGCATTTTATACTCAATGGTAAAAACAGTAATAAATAGCTCAGCTGGGCTGCACATCAAGCTAGTGCTGACCACAGACTAAAAGTCGTAGTTTCCTCGTAGCAGATGTTACGTTTCCAGATTATTTGATACATCGAAATGATGATTTTCCTTTTAAAAAATGAAGTAACAGCTTCATAGTTTCATATATGTAGTCACTATAGACACAATGATTGGAATATCACCAAATTAATAGGTATCTTATTAAGAGCACTGTGTCTCTCTGGTAATACTTTCTCTATGAAAAACGAATACGTTTTTACTTACTTTAGCAGGTTGATCCGTCCTTTCTCTGATATTATGGCACACGTTTTAGCTATTCCACCCGCTTCCATTGTACCCTTATATAAAGAAATTTCAACATCTACAACAGTTTCAATATATATATCAGTTGTTGACGATGTATACGTCACATGTTATATCACAGTTGTGTCGTGGTACTTCGAGAACATCTTTTATTTGCTGATGAACGTCTTGTTATCTTAATGTTACAAACATAATAAATATAAAACAGCAGCATGAAAACAAACAATAATCTGTATAGAAAATTATCCAAACTATTGATAGACTAGTAGAGGTATTCTAAAATGATGTTTGTTTTAAGTGCCTTCACAGTCTTGTTTATTGGTAACAATATGGACAGCTATCCGTGTGCATGTGTGACTCATAAATCATAGCGGTATATTTTTAGTACATGTCGGCCAAAAGGATCTGCGATGCATGACAGGTCAGTGATCAGAGGAATCTCTGTACCGTAATTGGCTGTAACACAATAGCGGTTCGTAGTCCAGTTTTATATTGGGTAATTCCCTCCATTGTTTCTTTAATTAATTTCCTTTACATAGATACGTGAGTTTTTAACAGTTTTATGGGAAAATACTGATAAACATCAGAAGGGGTATTTTTGAAATACTTTGTCTGATTTGATATTTTGTCCATCATGGTAATCACATTGAAGATTTTAACATACTAAAGATTTAAACTAGGCAACATTCACAACTGAAGAAGGGTTTTGAGTAAAAACTTGATATAATTCTTAAATAGCAACCGGTTCTATCGGACAATATTGCAAAGGTTGGGAGTCACAGAAAGGTATGACATCACCATATTTATTACCTTAATTAGAACTGCGAACATGCCACCAAACATGAAAAAGGCTTGAAACACATCAGTCCAGACAACGGCTTTGAAACCACCCTGTAGTGCATAGGAAGTTTTCGATAATCATAACATAATATAATATATCTAACTATTTTCCGTTTAATAACACTAATATTTCACGACCATTTTATTTTGTCATTCTTATGTTTTCCAAACAGCAAAGGGAGAGTACAAAGGTTGCGACATATGGTATTCAACAGGATATGTTTTAATATTAATTCTACATTTAAACTCAAAACGTAATGCAGGAATGGCATATTGTAAAACGTGCTGAGAGCATATACAAACGTTGCTTCTCAGAATCTGAGAATAAATCACAGATATATTAGAAATGCTAGCAGTTCTCTATTGGTTGTATTTATCACACTAGAGAATATTAGAACACATAAGGGCACGACAACAGGGAACAGGCAATGCATTGTAATAATAATATAATCACATGTTTCTCTCAACCCCCCCCCCCCCAAAAAAAAAAACCCCCCAGCCCCAAATGAAGTCAGTGTAATACAAGTAAAACACTTACGATAATTGTATAGACTACCACTACACCCATCAATGTGACTATTGAGATCCATACGGGAATTCCAGCCACTTAAAGATGAATATTTATAACATAAGGTATCACATATAATCATCTGAGGAGGAAATATATGTCAATAATGCATTAATTACATTATTCAAGGTAACCTGATGTATTAGTTACAATTGTATATGTATACATATGCACAAATCGATATGATGACTTTTACACATCTATATGCAAATAATATTTGATACTATCCTTACCTACTTCCAAAGTAACAGCCGGTATGAACACGACATTACCAAGATAGTTTGTCTGTTTGAAATTGAACAGAAAAACATATATAAATGTATAAATATTGTCATATTTGCTTTAATGTTAATATGAATAATTCATTTTTTAATTTTGCAGGAAACACGGCTCAATTTAAGACGTAATATAAGTAATGAAGAAAATATGAAACATTGGACATCGAAAATATGATATGTAAAATCACATGTGATATGACAATATAGAGTGCGGGAAACTCGTGATGAAGAAATAAGTGATTATGGAAACGTGTGGCGTGTTCACATGTATTGCAGAAAAGTAAGTTGTAGTGAGGGACATTTGTAATGAGAGCACAGGTGATGAAGGAAACAGTAGAGGATGGAAATATATATAATGAGGGAAACCTATGATAAGTATCTTCTGATGGAAAGAAACGAGGATGGAAACATGTTTTAGGAAGCAGGTCTCATGAGGGAAACAAGGTGCACGTGGGTAAGGAAAAGGAAAAAATAATTGAATCAGTTTTTAGTTGTGTTTGTTATTTTTCTTATTTATAACTTCGGTATTATAATGTTATACAGGATTGAAGACGAGGACACACTGTTTTTGATCTTTTGTTTCATACAATGTTTTCATAAGAACACCCCCCAACCCCCTCCCCCATCCGCCATTTAATTTAATCTTATAAATTCTTCATCCGTTTTCATAAATACCGTATTGTATTGCTGCATAGTCTCTGTAGAATAGACTAGGGATACAACAATAACTGCTTATTTCCTTTGCATTTTCGTCTTAGTGTTAACTTAACTTTTTCCACATCATAATTAAATCGACAACAAGACTTATAAACAATTTTAAGAAACCATAAAATATCGACAGAGTAACAATTTATGTGAAAAAAGACATGAAATAAAACTTACATATGCCAGTAAACGAATTATGGTAGAAAACAATCTCAGTCCATGGGAATTATACCTAAGCTCGAAATACTGCAACGACAAAATCATTATATATATGTTGTAAATGACAAAGAATATGTTATAAGTGCTAAAATGAACCTATCAGACGGTATATAGAGCACAATTCATTTTCTAACATAGATTCGGGCTTTCCAGTTTGGACACTAGTACATATTGGCTGATTGACAAGTCTGATAAGTAAATAAATCATTATCATATTTGAAATTAAATAGAAGTCCCCAGATAAAATTGTTATAAGCTAACATATGTTCTATATTTTTCCGTGTGATAAGGGTTATTTTTAGTTATCAAGTAATATTCCGGAATTTTTAACATGTAGTTTAAGTGAAACAGTCTACTGAAGCTCCTGCAACACACGTTCCATCGTAAACGAAACACACATCATCTAATGCTGGCTGATAGGTAATACAATCATGTAACCCGGCATGCAGTAAGAAATTAAATATAATTACCTGTATCAAGCTGGTAATATTAAGCTTCCTCTGCGTTGGTATGATCAGATGCATTGTCAGCATACTTGTAACGAACACTGATATAATTGATATATACCATTGCATGCCATACATATAAACTTCTGCGGGAATGGACAACATCATTATTCCAGATTCAATAGATACCAGCATTGACAATGCAACTGGAAATATTGCCATATTTCCATCCCCTAATAAAAAGTAGCGCGTAGTTTTCTTCTTGGAGTCTCGTATAGAGTAGAATAAACCGATTCCCAGTGATAAAACCAGTGTTATGATGAATATGACGTAATCTTCCCATTTCAGAAATGCCATTTTTATTATAGTAGAAGATGCAGCGACAGCAGACTGGCTTCAACGAATTATGAAAATAAATAAAACAATTTTTTTTTTTTTTTTTTATATATATATCTAAACATAAAAATGATAAAAGAGTAAGATATACCTTAACATGTTTCACCCGCATTGTAAAATTCTGTAAATGCACTCATTAAATGGTTTTAATATGTGTTTGCTTGCTTTTTGGCCAATGTAAAATCACATAAAGATGATAACCGTTTAAGATATAAACTACTGTATAACGGTATGTTGATATGGGCTGTATGGCAAAATCATGATGCCTGTCACTTGAGAATTTTCACCGAGGTATGAAAATATGCGTACGCTAATATAAATATATTTACAGTATTTACTTATTTGAAATGAAATAGACAACTGGTGTTTTCAACATGAAATGTGTGATATACAGAAGAAATCTTTTTGTATATTGCATTTTATTTAGTATCATGGGTCATACAATGAAGAACTAAATTGCTTTGGTCGTTTCCAAGGGGTAACGAGTTATGTTGCATTGTAGTTTTGAGACGACAGATTCGATGAATTGCAAAATAGTTTGTGGTTAATCTATCGAAAACATGTCATTGGATGTTGTCCAAACGCTTTGGATCAACCCGCGCCCATCAGTACACTGATGTTCACACACTGTCAAACATTCGAGGATGGTTACAACATATGTTTTATACAAAAAAATATAAGTATATTATTGTATTTGTTAACATTACAATAGCCACACCAACACAAACCTGCTGTTGCGGAGGTTGATTGACACTGACTGGAATGTGTGAAATGACACAAAATGCTTACAAACAGGCAATGCTAATCTTGTTTACTTTTGTATATTGCATTTAATTTAGTTTTATGGGTCCTACAATGAAGAACTAAATTGCTTTGGTAGTTTCCAAGGGGTGATGAATTATGTTGTATTGTAGTCTTGAGAGACGACAGATTCGATGAATTGCAATATAGTCTGTGGTGAATTTATCTTGAGCAAACGAAACACGTTACAGTTGGTAGATTAATTAAGTCCAATTTACGTAGCAATTAAAATATCACAATATGATTTTTACAAGGTAGCATTATGTTTAGTATCAACACATTCGGTTAAATATATGGTTACTTCACAAGCAACATCAGAACTTGGTATAAAAAATAAATAAAAAAATAGTGTTAATACTTGATGTAAATAAGACATTATACAATGTATGCTTTCTGAATATCACAACCGTTTTGAGTGGTACAATTTCGTATTTTTAATCTCGAAACACATTTGTAGAGTTTGAATTTCAAGTGATATTATCATTAGTCATTCATTGTTGCCTACTTGCTTTCAGAAGCGTAAACGTTTCCTAGAATTTAATTTTGTGATTTTTCCAGGGCTGAAAGTATAGCAGAAATAGAATCCTTGTGAAGTATTATTATTATAGTGTACTGTAAAAAGATTGGGAAATAGTACTGTCGTAGTATTTCTCCGTTCTACCCGAACTCATTGATTGTAAAAGACTTGATATTGGCATCAGTCAAATTTGAATGGTGTGATATACAATTTGATACATGGATTAAGATGTTAGGTTAAACGGTTACCACTATATGCAGAGGGCAAACAAATGCAGTTAAAACAAATATATCACACTGTCAACACACAGGAGGAATAACCAAATTCAGTAAGTAAAGACAAAAACAGGAAGATACTACATATTTACCATTGATATCGCTAAAATGACACAATATACAACTTACCTGGAGATAGCTGCTTACTCCTAGAGAGTTCTGTAAATGTGGAGGAGCGGTCGGTACTGCATATCAAAAGAGATAATAACACAGATGTTGAATCTAACGTTCACATCAAAAAGAGTTTACGATCACCATAATGTCGATGAATGGATAGTTCTAAGGGGAAAAACCTATACGTATGTCGATGAAATGTCATGACATTGAAAATGTTGTTTAATAAAAGTTTTTTTTTACATTAAAACGACAATGCAAATATAAAATATTGTTTTCAATTTGCTGAGATCGCAACACAGGCTGTGTCATGATTATATGACAGGGGTGCAAAACAAATAAGATGATAAACGTGTGTTACGAAACTGTATTTAAATACAGTTATTTTATTTATTAATGTATTTTTCCATACACATTAACACATGGATATAAAATGTTATATAAACTATATACATGGTACTGAAATAAAAGTTAAGTAACACACGAAGTGAAGTTTACAGACTGGCGATGTTATTATGTACACGAAATGTAATGTACAGAGCTAAATAACCACAGGATCTATATTATAACCCCTGTTCAAATTTCAATATGTACAGCTGAGTCAGTAATAACTAATGTTGGGATCGGGGCAAGTCCCATCAGTCTTGGGAGGAGGACCTATGTCTGCAAATTTAGGCTCAGGTATTGACATTTTTAATATGCCTTCCCCACTCCTGAGTGAAGGGGACACGGTAGGGGCCCATTTCTCCCAGGCTACAGTGGAAAAAAATTGGGGCTCAGAGTTTTTTTTATTTTGGCATACTGATGGAGACAAACCATCAGGAAAGCACTCAAAGTAATATCTTTGGTTGATGGTGTTTTTTTGCATCAAACAGAGGGGGGCAAAATACAAATTAGATACCATTAAGGCATGGATAGATGCCTTCATAGTTTACGTTGCTATCTACACACAGAAGCATGTGGGCAAGAACTATTGAAATATATATCAATTGTTAGAACGGCCTTTAAATCGTTTGGTGAGTTAGGTTGGAGGAGATATGACGAGCAATTTCGTCTCCGTCCAGCCCGTCAGCCTAACAACAAATGTATTAAGGTCCTCGGATGCTATTTCATCGCAAAACAAAAATTGTGGGAGTGCGTGGCGTTTGTTATGAATTTAACTTCAGCGGTGTGTGCCACAGGACGAATTGTGGTTATATGCATAAATGTGTAGTATGTGGGGGAGGCCATTAGAAAAAAAAACTGCTTCAGTAACCAAAACCAAGCTTTCAGGGGGCAAGTTATATAAGTGGCCAAAGAATGCCTTCATCACACAATGGGCCTAGACAGGGCCTAGACAGGGCCTGAATTCTGGTCAATGTAGCACCCTCAGCCAGGGGCAAAGTAATTTTCGTCCCCAAGCACCCAACTACAATAGATACCATTTCAACAGAGATATGGGCTCTCGGAAAAACTCCAACCAACAATACCACTGTCAATAAATACTTGGACATTTATCCCGACAGAGTAGCGTCACAATATCTGAACGTTGGTTTCGAAAGGTGTTGCAAGCTTCGTTATTCTGGTTCAAGATTTCCTAGAGAGTCAAAAAACCTTTTATCTACATTTCAATTTGAAGATATTTTGTTGTCAAAATTAAAGCAGGAAGTTGATGCAGGAAGGGTAACGGGACCCTTTAAAAGTAAGCCTATTTCGATCTTAGAGTTTCTCCCATTGGTTTAGTTCCAAAAAAAAGCCTGGGGTTGGAGATTAATTCAGAATTTATCATATCCTGAACATGACAGTGTCAATGAATTTATTGATGGGTCTCTCACTTCTGTCCATTATACCCCATTTGCTCAGGCAATGAAAATGGTTCAGAATCTTGGAAAAGGGGCCTTGTTGGGGAAGTAAGATATCAAGTCGGCTTTTCGTCTGCTACCAATTTTCCGGGGAATTTTGACTTACTAGGCATGAAAGTAGGTGCTGATTATTACTTTGACAAGTGTTTACCCATGGGTTGTAGTATTTCATTTGCATCGTTTGAATTTTTTTCAACATTTATCGAATGGTTAGTACGTTGCAAGTTTAATTCTAAATCCATTGGACATTATCTTGACGATTTTCTCTTTGGTGGAAAAGCGAATAATAATGATTGCATCAAAGCCATGGAATGTTTTGATGTTTTTTTTGTCAGGAGACAGGATTGCCGAAGTCAGATGAAAAGACAGAGGGCCCAGTAACGTGTTTGGTATTTCTAGAATTAGAAATAGATACTGTACGGATTCCCAGGGATAAGGTCCTAGAAATAACAATGATTTTATAAGATGTAGCTCAGAAAACAAAAATATTGTTGAAAGGCCTTCAAAGTTTGTTGGGTAAATTAGCTTTTTGTGTGAGGGCAATGCCAGGGGCTAGAGAATTTTCCAGAAGGCTTTATGGTTTATTAGGCAATGCTACAAGTCCAAACCACCACATTCGCTTGACAAAGGGGGTCAAGGCGGACATCTGGGCGTGGCTAGAATTCTTCCAGAATTTTAATGGTACCTTTAATTTTTTCGAGCAGGATTGCGTATTGAGTGCTGATTTTGAACTGTTCACAGATAGTGCTGGTAGTATGGACTTAGGTTGTGGTGCTGTGTACGGGAAACATTGGCTAGTGTTCAAGTGGCCAAGTAGCTTGTACGGTTTTGATATACAGAGGGACATAATATTCCTAGAGTTGATTCCTATTGTTATTGCATTATACACATGGGGAAGCGAGTTTCTCAACAAGAAAGTATTGTTTCAGTGTGACAATCAGGCATTGGTTGAGATCCTGAACAAATCATCGGAACGTGTGATGCCTTTTATCCGTCCTTTAGATGGGTGGGTGGTGGGGGGTTATGTCCCGTGAAATACCTGGAAAAGTATGCCATAAACATGTTTAAGACTTGTTAGCCAATGGCCAATGTGGTCCTGTGGTGGTCCTGATGTAAGCTTCGTACCCCACTACATTTCTTTGTGTGCTTGGAAAAAATAACACATATGTGGGCAGTAAGTGACGTCCCTTGCTTGAAAAAAATATATAAAACATATGAGGGCAGTAGGTGACGCCCTCCTGATGTATATGAGGGCAGTAAGTGACGCCCTCCTGATGTATATGAGGGCAGTAAGTGACGCCCTCCTGATGTATATGAGGGCAGTAAGTGACGCCCATTGCTTGATTAATAAAACACCGTGGCCGTTACTGTCAATCTTGTGTTTGGCGTTTTATTCAATAACTACTTCCACTGTAAGCATACATACTAAAACGTAATATAAAACTGACAACACTTGTTTATCACTGTTAGCCAACATACACAAAGATAATATACCATTGATCACATGTTCTTACTTCTACATGTATCAGCATACATACTAAAACTTAATATATAAAGGATAATAATTACTTACCGCTGTTAGCATATATACCACTGTAAGCATACATACAAAAACGTATAATAGAATTGACATTACTTTCTTACAACTGTTAGTATACATACTAAAACGTGATATAAAATTGCTTATACCTACATACCACTGTTATCATGCATACTCAAATGTGATATAAAATGGATAATACCCTTTTACCACTGTTAGCATACATACTAAAATTTGATATAAAATGCATAATACCTACATACTAATGTAAGCATACATACTAAAACGTGATATAGAATTGATAATACCTACTTACCACTGTTAGCATATATACTCAAATGTGATATAAAATGGATAATACCTACTAACCACTGTTGGCATTCATACTAAAATGTGATATAAAATGGATAATACCTTGACTTGCCACTGTTAGCATACATACTCAATTGTGATATTAAATGGATAATACCTACATACCACTGTTAGCATACATACTCAAATGTGAAATAAAATGGATAATACCTACATACCACTGTTAGCATACATACTCAATTGTGATATTAAATGGATAATACCTACTTACCACTGTAAGCATACTTACTCAAATGTGATATAAAATGGATAATACCTACTATCCACTGTTAGCATACATACTAAAATGTGATATAAAATGGATAATACCTACTTACCACTGTTAGCGTACTTACTCAAAAGTGATATAAAATGGATAATACCTACTATCCACTGTTAGCATTCATACTAAAATGTGATATAAAATGGATAAGACATTGACTTGCCACTGTTAGCATACATACTCAATTGTGATATTAAATGGATAATACCTACTTACCACTGTAAGCATACATACTAAAATATGATATAAAATGGATAATACCTACATACTGATGTAAGCATACATACTAAAACATAATATTTAATTGATAATACCTACTTGCTACAGTTAGCATACATACTAAAATGTTATATATAATAGATAATACCTACTTACCACTGTTAGCATGCATACTAAAACGTAAAATTACATTGACATAACTTTCTTACCACAGTTAGCATATATACATACTATAAGGTAATCTAAAATGGATAATACCTACTTGCCACTGTTAGCATACATACTAAAATGTGATATAAAATGGATAATACCTATTTACCACGGTGAGCATACATACCTAAATGTGATATAAAATGGATAAAACCTACTAATCACTGTTAGCATACATACTAAAACTTAATAAAAATACCAGATCAGGAACATCGGCTGTATTCGGCAGTTTATGACTGAAAATGCATGCACGATTTTGGTGCATTCACTTGCTACCTCTCGGTAAGATTATGGTAACGCCCTGCTCTGTGGTAAATCTGACAAACTAACTAGTCGTCTGCAGTGGGTATAGAACCTTAATTTTATGGTCCAATGATTTTATTGATTTTTGTCATGTGAAGGAGCAATTAATAAATTTTATTGATTTATTTTTATTGGGTTTTGGCACGGAGCACGCAGGTGTTCCTTGGTCCCAACTGGCGCAGGTGTTCATTGGTTCCCACTGGCGCAGGTGTTCCTTGGTCCCCCCTGGCGCAGGTGTTCCTTGGTCCCCCTTTGTCCAAGAATGCGGTCACTGGAGGGAGGAGGGCAGAGTGCCTCAGTCCAATATTGGCAGTTCCTCTTTGTCTAAGAATCTCTATCACCTGAGAGTGCCCCATTTAGGATGTGAAGAAATGTTGATACAAATATAACCGCTGACTTTCAGTTAATTAAGTTGACTTGACCCTATTGATTTCAAAAAATTAAACTGTTGACCAACCAACCCATGATGTTATATTGCTGTGGCTATACGAACGATATAACAACCTAGCATGTACCAATCAAATATTATTTTAGATAATGATAAAACAGTGAACACAAACATCCACACTCCATCTTACTAAAAAGGTTGAACGAAAACTTCCAGATTTGAATTCACCACAACCTACAGCTCAAAGATAACTGATCAAGAATTTCACTGAGAAATTCAGTTAACATAAATTCCTGTTGAAGATTATCACCAAGAAACAGATCAAGAAAAAAAGACTATCAAGGTGAGTGATTTTACATTTGAGTTGATCGGTGTTCATACTCGAGTGTATTTTAAGTCATGTCTGTGGTCGATTTCGATGAGTCCTGGAAATTCTGCATAAGCGACACAATTTAGGGTTTCTGTGGTGCAAATCTTACCTCGAGTCTGCCACCTTCCTCTCTGACCAGGTTGATATATTCCTCTCCGAGCCCACGAGGCGTCAGAGTAAAACCATAAATCGTACATCCTTGATCAATTTTTTTCTCTAGTAATCGTTAGTCCTGAATCATCGTTCCATTTCTCGGCGATCTCAAATAAATTGACGAATGGAGTGACGTACTTTCTGTTGTCTCCCATGTCCATCTTCAGCAGGGTATGCTTTCTCCGTTGACGTAGAGATCGATTTCTTGACTTGACAATTTCGGGTGTACACCATGTACAGACCATTGCCCGATCATGATCCGGAGTGACAGGGTGACCGTCTTTGAAGGTGTGCACAAGTTCGACACAAAGCAAATGTCAATTTGTCGTTAATTTTCTGTGTTAGATCAGGTTGGTAAAGCCCTTTCGGAGGCAAAACCATAATTTTCTCAATACCAAAATATTTGTCTATGTTTTCGAAATCTTTTGTGATTATCTTGGGGTGTTTTACGGGGTATTTTTCGTATTTGTTTACGTAGGGATAAAAAGACGTGAAATCTACGTAACAGACTTTCTCTCCTTCTTTGACTTTATACTGGAATTTTGTGGCATTAATTCTACCACCAAAAAGATAGTCTCTTGGTTCGAGTCTTGTCTGTATATTCATGTAACCCGTACCCGTATTATTTACCTTGGTTACATACTCCCGGGGTTTATAAAATGACGCCTGG